TATATAAATTATTAATATTTTATTATGATCTTATCTTTTTCTTCATCTTTTCCTACCATTTCCGTCCCACTCTTTTCCTCTTCTCTCATCGTCCTACCCTCTCCCTCTTTTTTTCCTCTTAGACCTCTCAATTCATGTTTCTTTCTCATTCCTAGTCAAACTCCTTATTGATTCCAGTCTCTATTTCGCTGTCCTCCCTCCCTCTCTAGCTATGCGTTGTTCGAACGGAACCTCACGGCTCCAATTTTCCCGACGAGTTGCAGGTTTCCCGATGTGTTTTCCGGCCAACCCTCGTTAAATTGGATGAAGTTAGCACCGCCAAAAAATTCATCACCATCCCTAGACTGAGATCTTAGCTTTGAATGCTCGAATCTGTCATGGATTTGAAGAAGCCCAAACAGGTCGAGACTTCCAGACCATTTTCCGGCCACATTCGACCACATTTTGACCTCGATTTAGGTAAAATCGTAATCTTGTCACTCCCAGCTTCAATTTGGTATATTTTATATGAAAGTTGGTTGTGAAATGGATCGGAAAGAGAGTCAGAAAGTTAATGATTGATCTAGGTGACCGGAGATGACGAGGAGTCTGTCGAGAGTAGTCGTTGAGCATGACGAGGATGAGCAAGAGAGGATAGTCTTAGCTAGTCCCATGGTTATTGGGGGGTCTCGCTAAGACCTCTTAGTGAAGGATTTTGTCCATGCTAGTCCCCTTTAGTCTCATTAATGTTAGTCCTAGCATGGAACAAACACAATATTGGACTAATAGCTAGTCCAGTCCAACTTAGTGAGGGCAAACAAACGCCCCCTTAGAGTTTATTTATACTTTCATCAAGTATAACATAAGATTTTGTGGTATCCACTTGTGAAAATATTTTAAATTGAAGATCAAATTCATTCATTGTATTCATATAGGGTCAATGAGTGTACCTGTAAAAAAATCATCAAAATCGAAGTTAAAATAACCGTTAAATCGTGATTTTTCGTTTATAACCGTCGAAAAGCTTTGTCCCGTTACTTGATATTTGAATGTTTGTTTTTTGCGATTTTTTGCTGATGTGATCTCGAAGCATATACAAACAAGTTTGATGGTTGGGATCGTTGAAATTAGTTTCGGAGAATTCGTATCCCATTAAGTTCAATGGGGTGTGTGTGTGTGTGTGTGTGTGTGTGTGTATATATATATTTTTTTTTTTAAGTAGAGTTAAATCTATTTATTTTGTACGTATAATTGATTGGTATACGGAGTAGTACATCACGTGAGTCATTATAAAAATAGTGAGATATGTCATATATGTGATAAAAAGTTAATAACTTTAAAAAAAAAAAAAAAAAAAATCTCACCACTTCTATTAATTTTCATTTTTCCCTCTCTTTTTTGTTTCCTTTTCAACTTTGCTTATAATTTTCACTTTTCCCTCCGACGACCTACAGTGCCTACCCATCTTTCCCTAATTCCCTCTCTTTTTTGTTTCCTTTTCAACTTTTTTTTTTCACTTTCATTTTCCCTCCCTTTTTCTTCAAAATGGACGGCACTGCAGGAATGGAATGAAATTATCAATTATGGAATCAAATCAATGAATGCATATTAATTAATAATTATTATAGTTTTTATAAAATTTAATTCAAAATTTAATATATATATATATATATATATATAATTATTATAGATAGTTAATATTTTGGGGGTATAATTATTATAGTCAATTTAATATATATACACACACACACACACACACATACACACACATATATATTTATTATAGTTTTTAGGGGTATAAAATTGTTAAATTAATATATATAATTATTACAGTATTTTTTTAGGGTTATAAAATTATAAAAATAATATTCTGCTTATCGTGTATCGTGTTACCCACGTGTATACCCGAATCAACCCGTTATCTTAACAATTGCTTATTGGGTTACCCGATAACGATCCGATTCGTTATCGTGTCAATCCGAACACCTGTTAATTTCATGTCATGTCGTGTCGGATTATCGGATCGTATCAGGAATGGCTAGGCCTAGTGACAATAGTTCATGCTAGATTACAAATAATATTTGGTGCACTGAAATGGTTTGTCTGATATACAGGCTTTGATGGAGTAGAAATTCATGGGGCCCATGGACACCTTATTGATCAGTTTCAAAAAGATCAAGTGAATGATCGAACAGACCAATATGAGGGATCATTGGAGAATCGTTGTCGATTTGCTCTGGAAGTCGTTGAAGCTGTTGTCAATGAGATAGGAGCGGATAAAGTTGGAATTAGATTATCTCCATTTGCCAGCTATATGGAATCAGGGGATTCTGATCCGAAAGCGTTGGGCCTTTATCTGGCCAATTCGTTGAACAAATATGGGATCCTGTACTGCCATATGGTTGAGCCTAGGATGACGACAGCTGGAGAAAAATGTGATAGCCCCCAGAGTCTTGTACCATGAGAAAGGCTTTTAATGGTACCTTCATTGCTGCTGGTGGTTATGACAGGGAAGATGGGAACAATGCTGTGGCTGAGGGCCGCGCATATCTTATTGCTTATGGTCATTGGTTCTTGGCTAACCCAGACTTGCCTAAGAGGTTTGAGCTCAATGCTCCTCTGAACAAGTACAACAGAAACACATTCTATGTGCGTAAACCGGTTATTGGCTACACTGATTATCCGTTCCTTGACACCACGCATAGGTTTCGTGCAGCATATGGAAGCTTATACACTCTTATATTTCTGAAATCCCCGCATTAGTCTGCGTACATGTTTTCGTGTTGCTTTTCTTGCACGGTTTGGATAACTAGAGAAAATAACGAATCGAGGGGCAGAAGTTGGCTGACAAGATTGTAAAATTCTCATTTGTATAGTAAGTTTCTGCATTGTTCGATCTGTATCAAGTTCAAGTGTAGTGTTGTAGCTTGTGGTTACCTTGACATGCTAACTGATTGCATGCCATACCAATGAGTTTGACAAAGATAGTTTGTGATGATCTTATATTATGATTATTGGAAATTAACAGTATAGTTAACCTTTAGACGTTTGACCGTACATCTGTTCAACTGGCTTTTGGATATATCTTTGATTCGTCTTCCCCATTTGCGAATGACGTGTCTTAAGTATATAAACTCAATGATCAGCAACGTTTAATTTCTTAATTTCATTTGAAGACCATTCGTGCAAAAAATCATTTGAATCAGAAATTGTTTAATCCATTCAAATATATTAAATAAATGAACGGTTCATCCTGAATATGGTACTTGATACCTAAATCTTTGATTTGTTCTATGCATTTGAATACCTAAATGATCTCCAATTCTTTTGTAAGGGTACGATAATTAATAATTTGAACAGTTTTGATTATGAACTTTGTACGATAAATGTACATTATTTGCATGGAGGAAATAAGTTCATCCTTTTAAGAAATGAATGCAAGTATTATCTATATAATAAAAGTGGTAAGTTATGATAATTCTATGTTTGGGATTCAAGGATGATATAAATCTCTATTCATGACCGTTTCTTGTTAATGCTAGAATGTTATGTTGGGCTCCAATTAACTCCTGGTAAAAGTGTCATTGTAGCAGTATCCGTTGTAGGCAAATTTTTCTCTTTTTTTTTTCTTTCATGATTCTACTTGATGTGCACAAGGACTTTATTGTTTGTTGAATACAACGTTATTCTTACTTTAAATTACAATAAGATAAGGTAAACGATTTGAACCACCAGAAGAATACACTACTTACAAACATGATTTTTTTTTTTTTGGATAGAATATTCCACGCAACCTATTTTGGTCGAAAAGGGCTGTCGGCATAAAATTATATTATGTATGACAGTTTAAATTTGTCCAATTGAAAATGACATGGATCAAAATTGAAAGCTATCAAACTAATAAAAAAAACGTAATTCATCCTTACAATGAATCTATATGCCCAAAAAATTACGATTATAGAAAAACAGTGATCCGAAAGAGAAACTTCCATGTAACAGATGTGAATAAATCTTAACTTTATTTCTCGAGAAAGTAGTACATGATAGAGGGTATGCCCATTGTGTTAAGAGCACTCGCTAGGGAACCTGCATAACATATTTTTATTTTTTTGCAAAAAGCTAGCAACCTTGTCATTTTCCAATTTAAACGTGCAATGCTACTTGATTGGAGCCTTTTATTTCTAGACTATTAAATTTGTCACAAATTCATTGATTAATTGTGGTCCTCTTTCAAGCGATCTAAACTAATATAATTTTGTAACTAATATGTATTTAGTCTCACATATTCTCAAAATTATGACCTTAGGGCATCTCTAACCGAAAGGACTTAACAGTATCGGGCCATACTTATATATTGTCACTGAAATGGCTAAACATAACCCTCTCAACAATTATTTAGTTTTAAGTTTATGTATTAAATTTATTGGTTAATTTAATTAAATTTTCCTTGGATATTTTCAAACATACCTGTTGAATTTGACTTAAATAGTGCAGTAGAGGAGCTGAGCCCCAAAATATGGCTAAGAGAGGGACTACATTTATTCATCCTAATGCTCCTTTAGCCAAATGATGACTTGATGAGCTCCATAGAATTGTCACCTAGCTATCCATTGAAAATTGATGGGTTATGTTTAGCTCATTCGGTTGAAGATAATTATGAATATAATATGACACTGTTAACTTAAAACTAATTTTTTTTGTAAAGTTATAATTGTGAACGGGACTATATTTTAACCCTTCTAGTTGGAGAGGGCCCCAAGGACCTAAACAATATACTATTCAAACCATGGCCTAATCATGCAGGATGAAAAAGCTAAATCGAAATGAACATGCGGCTAGCATTACACCCGCATACGTCCGCCGCCGCCACCATCACCACAGCTTTCAGCCTTCCATTCCATACAAGGGAGGGGAGACGTGGGACCCAGCCACTAACTTTTGTGGAGGAAAGCTGCAGGGCGGACTTTTAAGCGCCTACCGAACGTATAAAGACCCAATCGGGTCCTTCCTTCCTTCCTTCCTTCTTTCCTTCCTTCCTCCCAGAGTCCAGTATAAAGGGCCAAGTGCAAAATCAGGTGGCAGACAACTGACTCAAATTCTGAGATGTCTGCTGCTGCTCAACCTCCCACAATTCCTCTCATCACTCCCTACAAATTGGGAAACTTCAATCTTTCTCATAGGTACTTAAAACTTTCAAACATTGTTCCTATTTGTTTACTTTTTAAAATTTCTCTGTCGTGTAATTGTTTAATTTATTTGATTCGAGCGTTATTTTAATGTCAAGATTCTAAAAAACGCTAGGCGCTAGTCGGGCGGCGGGTTAACGCTTAGCGTCTAGGCGGCTAGGCGGCTAAGCGGAGTTTAAGCGGATGCCTAGGCATATTTGTACTTTTTAAATAAATTTATAATATAATATATAAATAAGTCCATTTTTACACACACAAAAATCATACTTGTTGAAAAAAATAAAATACAAAACATACAAAATAAATATTTGTTATAAAATATAAGTATTGTATAAAATTTTAGAGGTTTTTTAAGACCATAATTATTATTAGTTCTTATTTTGTTTAATGTCTAAAATTGGGCCTGCTACAAATCTTGAAACAAAGTCCATAAACTTTTAATTAATAAAAAACCTACTAACCCTAGAGAGCATAGCTGCCCCCACCCCCACCTTTCTCTCTATCTCATCTGCACAGACTGCCCATTTCTTTCACTCTCTGCAGCGCTATCTTTCTCCCCCCGTCCCTCTTCGCAGCAAATCGTCTTTTTTCCTTCCCTCTCTCTCTTTCACTCCCTCCTTGTCGAATTTTGTAGGAGATCTGAGGTCTGGGTGCGACTGAAGGTGGAAGGCAATGAGAAAACGGCGACTGCAAGCTAGAAATATGGTAACACAGGGACAAGACCGCTTAGCACCACCGCCTAGACACCGCCTAGGCCGCCTAGGAGCGCCCAGGCGAGCGCCTAACATATCCCCGCTTTTCTTCGCCGATTGGCACCTAATCGGAGCGGCACCTCCCCGCCCAGCACCTAAGCCGCCTAGGCCGATTTTTAGAACACTGTTTAATATAAAGTTGTAAAAATCATTGTTCTAAAAAATTCCCACCAAGCACCATCTAGGCCCCACCTAGGCCCTTGGCGGCTGGTCGCCACCCCGATTAATGCCTAGACGTTTGAAAATTAAGAAAGGGTGCCTAGATCTGCTGAGGCACGTGCCTAGCTCACCCAGACCCGCCTAAGCATTGACTAGATTGCGACTCACTGAGACAGAAAATAGATAGCTTGCATTTTGCATTTTATTTTTTTTCAAAAAATTATAAAGACTTGTTGAATACTTAAATGAACACACATTATATGCTTGTTCCCTGTGTTTTCATTATGTCCAATACTTCATAATATATATGTCATTCTATTTTGTAGTTTATAATGAAATTATATATATTTTAAGTATAAACATACACTTATTTACACAAAATATAATATATTTACTTAAATCCGCCTAGTATTGCTAGGCTCCCGCCCCTGCCCAGCAGCCTAGGCGTTAGGCCCCAGCTCACCGCCGACTAGCGCTTAACGTCTTTTAGAACCTTAACTATGAGAGGAGAGCCAAACTTGGATTCAGAGAGTATCTAGGTCTGCAAATGGCTATTGGCTAACAAGAAAAATAGAAGATGAAATTACAACTTGTCTATATTCAAGTTTAGCGTACTGTGTAGTTTATTCATGTGTGCGTGTCAAATATAGCTATACAAAAAAGGGAAGAGATCTGGTCCCATCAAAGGCCCAGGATCAAGTAATTCGGACCGTTGAAATTTGGTCTAACGATTTCAAGCAGGAAGCCCCTCTAAAAGTTATAATAATTGTAGCCGTTTGATCAAATTTTAATGGCCTGAATCACTTGATCCTGGGCCTTTGATGGGAGAGATTTGGATCGGATCTCTTCCCGAAGAATGATTTGGGGAAAGAGACAAGGAGTGTTTGTAACTGTATCTTTGTCTATAAAATAGTACATGTTGGGAAGGAGACAAGAACTTTCCTTGTAACTCTATCTTTGTCTAAAATAGTACAGATGTTACAAATTAAATCAAAACAATAGCACAATTGAGTTATTTCATTGATTAATTGTTGAAAATAGATGCAACTGATTGTTAAAAGTATGTGTCCTTTCGGCCATGTCACTTCGTAAGACATTGCTTTGCTTAGGTTGTGTTTGGTAACGATTTCGTATTTAATTTTTAGTTTTTAATTTTAAGTGAAAGATAGAGAAATGCATGATGGAAGAGGAGGAGGAGGAGGAAGGGAAAGGGATGGATGAGGGACAAAACGTGCATGGAATGATTCTGAAAATGAAGAACATAAAGCAAATTCAGATAGTCTACAATTCGACTTTTTATTTCACACATTTTCGTCCCAAATTCCATCTTCCTCTCTCGTTTCTCCTTTTTAACTAAAACAAGAAAACTAAAAGCGAATTTGTTATCAAAGGAGCCTTAGCAAACTAATGCTTCCTACAAAATCTGAAGGTTGTATTTATGGTTTATTATATATTTTTCCTCTTTAGAATTGTATTTTCACCGTTGATGACTAGATACAGATCATTCGATAATGTTCCTCAGCCACATTCCGTCTTGTTCACTCCGTATTTTTAATTTACAATTTCTTTTTCCTTTCCAGAATTGTTTTAGCACCATTGACCAGACGGAGATCATACAACAATGTTCCTCAACCACATGCTATCTTATATTACTCTCAGAGAACGTCGAACGGGGGTCTTCTCATAGCTGAAGCCACTGGAGTTTCAGACACAGCTCAAGGGTAATTTCAACAACAGTAGATTCATAGACTAACAAACATTTGAGGGTGCTTCTTTCGTTTCAAAGTTTGATGAAATTTTCGTTTCTTTAATATACGAAGGTACCCGCACACACCTGGTATATGGACAAAGGAGCAAGTTGAAGCCTGGAAACCCATTGTTGATGCTGTTCATGCTAAAGGTGGCGTCTTCTTCTGTCAGATTTGGCATGTTGGAAGGGTTTCTAATAGCGGTGCGTTTCTGATTTACACCTTTATGACCTCACTTTTACCATAGAATGCTTTGTTAACATGAGTGAATAATTAGACCGATTAAGAAGTGTGATGTATAACATTATGGTGTATGCACCAGAACGAGAGAGTGATTATAATTGACAATGTTGTTGCTCAAACGACGATAAAACTTGGACTTTTTTTAAGTTCCGAGTTGGTGTTTTTAACATAACCCATAAGAAGACGCTACTTTTATGAGCTTGCTGTTTCGGAAGCATTGTTTTTATTATTATTGGATGAGAAGAAGTTTGATGTTAACTTAACTCAGAATTCAGAATTAAAAGAGTGCTGCTGTGGATGTTAGTTACTGTTGTTAGACTTCAGGTTGTAATTCTTTTTCTCCTTGCTTACAGGTTATCAACCAAATGGGCAAGCTCCAATATCTTCTACTGACAAGCCGATACGATTAAATGGCACTGATGCTTCTGAATTCACGCCTCCAAGACGATTAAGGACAGATGAAATTCCACAAATTGTCAATGATTTTAGACTTGCTGCAAGGAATGCTATTGAAGCTGGTAATTTGTCTTTACGTTACATATGAAACATAATTTACAACAGCTCAATTTGCTTCAAATCTTATGCAAAATAAATTGTGTTTGATCAGCGAAATCTAGTTCGAGATGGGAGGGGGATTGACACGCCCCGACCCCGATATTCCCCGAATACCAGGATAGGCACGTGCTGGCCGACACCCGAGGGTGACGAAAGCCATTTATTGAGTGCAAATGCTGAAAACAAAGGATAAATAAGGCTTATAAATATAAAAGAATAATGAATATGCAAATAAGGACCGTGTTCAGAGCACACCACTAATCTAGAACACTAAAGGAAAAATAATATAAAACTAAATGAACAAAGGAGTGGGTCCTACACCGAGAGGACTCGAAGATGCCGATGCGGAAGTGCCTGGACGTCGGGATTGTATGCCTCGATTCTAAGTCCTGAAGGGGGCGCAAAACAAACATGAGTGGACCAAGTTGATATATATATAATAAAACAGTTATCAACATACTAACCCCCAGGTTTTATGAAAACACATATATATGATGATAAACATAGGTTTTCCGAAACCTAGCATGTCGTGCAATATCTCAAATCATAATTCGCATAAATAATAAACACTAGTGAATGTCCGATATAACACTTCAGGCCCCATGCCGGCTCCCCGTCTCTGAGCACACAGTCAGAGGAAAATGCACTTCAGGCCCCATGCCGGCTCCCCGTCTCTGAGCAGACAGTCAGAGGAAAACACACTCCAGGCCCTATGCCAACACCAAACCGTCGCCCGGGACGGACCGGATCTATCCCTACGTCCCGTAGCGGAAAGGACCACTAGGTAGGTACAAAACCAGTGAACATACATATATTGAAAATCAACTTTATAGTATAAAGTCATCCATCATCTATACTATAAAGAGGTGTTCTAAACATGTTCTAAATATCATATCGTCATCCATCAGATATTCTACAAGAACATGGGTTATAGGAAAAATAGTAATAATTCAAACTAGCCTCAGTAAGCATGTTATCTCGTAAAACGTTTCATAAAACATAATCATCAAATCATGCTTTTCATGTATGCATTTATACTATCAAAACATGCATTTTTAGAAGGGGTCCACTCACAGTACTTCGCCGTCGAAAAGCCACGTCATCTAGCAAAGAAGGAAACGCCACAGATAATCGCCCCTAAGCACATAAACGGTACATTTAGTCAAACTCTACTCAAACGGTTGAATTTGGGAAAACGAACATCGGAAACGGGTTCAGGACGTCGAAATTAGCCAAGGAGGGGTCCCGCACGAAAACCGAAAAAGTCAACCCAAGGTCTAAGTCAACGTTGACCGCGACCGGTCAAAGTCAACGCTGACCGTTGACCGGGTCAACGGTCAACGGGTCAGGTCCGGGTCCGGGTCAACGGGTCAGGCTTTAGGGTTTGGGTATTGGATTTGGACTTGGGTTGGATCCGGGTTGGGCCTAAGGGTTTAGGGTTAACGGGCCAGAGGCCCTAAAACAAACGGCCCAAAGGCCTAATTACAAAGGGTAATGGGTTTGGGCTGCCCAGGGTCTTGGGCTTGGCAGGAAAGGCCCAAAGGCCTTAGGTGTTCGCCGGAGTCCAAAGAGGGAGAAGGCCGGATTTCGGCCGGAGAATTCCCAAGCTCCGTTGGAGCTCAAAACTCAACCAAAACATGTCATTCAATATACCAAATTGAAGCCCCGAAGGTAAGGAATCGAAATATACCCTTGGTTCCCGTCATTGTGGCCGGAGTTGGCCGGAAAACAGCTTGGAAGCCACGGGTGTCCGCCGGAAACTGGGTAAGATTCAAATGAGCATAACTTCTTCAATACTCAATGAAATTAGGTGAAACAAAAAGGAAAGTTGTAGTACTCAGCGAGACGAAGAGATTGATACCTCGCACGCCGGCCAACTCGCCGTGGTTTGGCCGGAAATCGCCTCGAAAAGGGCGGTGCTCGCCGGAAAACTGAGAAATGTCTCCCGAGGTGGTTTCTTCGTGGTTTGACGTCCCAAAACACATCCACGGGGTTAGAAAAGAGTTATAGGTGCGGGCTTGGGTGTGTGTGTGTGTGTGTGTGTGTTCTTGTCGGACCGAGAGGGAGAGAAAGACAGAGAGAAGAGAGAGTGAAGGAGAGGAGAGAGAGATTTTTCAGAAAAAAGGAAAAGGGGAAAGGGAAAGGGAACGGGGGACAAAAACAGGGGGTGGGCCCCTTGGGCTCACCAATTAAGGCTCAAAAACAATTTTTAAAAGAAAGGTATCCCCCAAACTTAGTGAAAATACAAAAATACCCATTTTCTTACGTAAATTCTGGGACGGGTTGTTACAATCTACCCCCCTTAAAAGAATTTCGTCCCGAAATTTAAAATCACAATAAACCGAAATACTCGAAAATAGGAAGAAGAATATATGTATAATGAGAATTCAAGTCAGAGTGGGTGCATCAAAGAGAAAATGTCACACCGTCGCGAGCGGTTTGCCAAATCCTCTATCATGCCTCCAAGCTCTTACTTTCTTCCCCATCAGTGTAAAAGTAGAAACATACTTTAATAAGATATAAGGTTGAAAACATACATAGACGTAAGTTCAAAAATAAGTACGCAAAATACTATAGTGTCAAAATAGTCAAAATAGTCAAAATAAATATGTACTAACATATAGGTCAAAAACTCGCGCTTAACTTAAAACTGAAAATGGAAATACTTCCCCCAAAACATTTGTAACGTCGAAAACAAATAATTAAAGAAAAGGAAGTTAAAATACTTACTGAAAATCAAAACTGAACTCAAAACTGAAAAAATGAGAGTGGGTCTCGCCTAAGCATACGAACGTCACGTACTCCGAGAAAAGATGCGTCTCTAGGTCAAGTCCTAACAATAGCAAATCTGTACCAACTGCTAAAGACGAATCTTCCTGCCCACTTGCTTAACGAATCCAACAAATAAGTTTTCAATACCACAGTCGGCCGCCCGTGATATCGATCACACATTTGTTGTCTCGATAAGCAAGCAGAAATTTGCTGAGGTTGCACAATTTCACGCGTCGTAAATTCAATCTTTTGAATACTAGTTCCCAATACTCATCTGCTAACTAGTATTGTCTGTAGAACTGTTGTACCATGTCGCAAAAATGGCGTACTCAAACCGAACTAAACAGAAACTGTCGTAAAAAACTCTATCCAGTATCAAGCATACTATCCTCCTCAGTTCTTCCAAATGTGACCAACTACTCCAGTGTTTTTCCAACAAAGAACCCATTTGAAAACTGTACCTTGGGATTCAAAGGAAGTGGCTACCATGTTACTAGTAGACCCAAAAGCTCAAGCCAAGCAAGCAGAAAACGAAAAGTCACCTTTCCCAACAAGCGGTATCTCTTGGAAATCATTGTAGTGCTCAAACCATCTCTCCAATTTTGCTTAGTTGCAGGTTTCTAGTAAAACAAGGTCAAAGTTGATAGAAAGAAGGACTCTCAAGTGATCAACCTAAAACAAATGAAAGTACACACCTTTCAAGAGAAGTGTAAAGAATTTCCAATTCTCGCCTCGACCGCACTGGGGTGCCAATCCAGAGTACACTTAACAGATTGCTAGAAGCGTTTCAATAACCACGTACTCACAACAAAAGAGTCTTGGAGTGAAACAGTGAAAAGATGAGTTGAGACGGCACCTAACATTGGAAAAGAACCGATGTGATGCCTATGAATTATAGTAAGATGATGATACAATCCGCTGACCTTCTGTACTTAAACCTTCATCCAACTCTTACTAAAAGATCGCCCAAACATCACGCTCACGTGCTCACGAACTGAAGGATCCTGGTGTCAAGGTAGTGGAAAGCTACGTTGAGGCGAACACATCATATCATCGAAAAGGTCTACGAACGTACGATATGATGGTTATGAATGGTAGCAAGATAATGAATGGTGACCATTCAATTCAGCGTGAAGATAATGATGCAATCTGCTGCTCACCTGCACCACAATCTTCACCAACCTCTTTCCACAAGACGACTCCAACCTCACACCCACGTGGAACTCTTTCTGGTAAGTAAGGTAAGCTTGTGAAAAGGATTATGCTCCCAACATTTCTGTCTGAAGTGGTAAGAATTGGGCGCAAACTTCCACCGAATTGATCGATCGTGAATTCTTCACTGATTGAGTGAGAAACCATGTAAAGAAGGCTAGAAGAACACTCAAGAATTTGAGGATCAAAACAAGTCTATTAAAACTAGAGTACAAGATATCTGGATGAGTGAGAAATCATGCCAAGAACAAACAAGCAAAGGAAGGTAAAGATGCAGAAATAGAAGTCACTGTTTATGATTATTTGGTTAATCAACACGGTAAGGTTGACTGGTTTCTTAGCCAAAAAGGAAATAGGTATAAGCTCAAGAATAGTCAAGAACTGTTAATAAGATCTGACGAGGCCAAAGACATTTCGAAATTCACAATACTTTGTGAGAGCTATTTCAAAGTTCAAAAATTAAACATAGAACCTCTAAATCAACAGAATGACGAAGAAGAAAGATACAAAGCAGTCTGCATAAGCATGCAGTAACACGATTGGCTACCTCAAAGTGATGCTCTTGAGCAACCCAAAGCTCAATGAGTCCAGAGAAGTTCAAAGTAAAGCTCGATCTTCGTACAAAGATGAATATGGTAATCTCAAGCCATTACATTGAAAATTATAAGGCTAAACAATTAGTGGACAAGAGTACTGGTCAGTTGGGCTACACGCAAGAGGCTAAGTTCACTTCTACTGAAAAGTACGTGGACAAGATGCTAGGATTTACCGCCTACTGCCAAATCCAGGTGAAGTTCAAGAAGTCTGTTTATCCAAACAAGTATGGATCTTCATCAACCCAATCCAACTACAACAACAAAAAGAATCGCAACTCCTTTTGGAAAATTGGTGGGAATAGCGTCTGCTACCGAAGAGTCATTTAAGAAATTACCTAATTTAAATGAAGTCAAAGCTTGAAGAATTTGGTATAGAGCTAACGGTCAAAGGTTAAGGAACTTGACTTCGCTGTTGAGGCAAGCAAGCAGGTTACTGGTAGAACAATCATCGAAGATTCATTCTACCGGTTCACACGAGTTTCTTCAGTGGTAATGAGCCTGAGAACATTGATTTGCTCCCGCCAACTACCACTTACTAATCGTCGTCACCACTAGCGCTTGCTTTCTCAAACACGAACTTCGAATATTTCAAGTAATTGCCACTCCAATATGACTCTGCCCGCCATTCCTAGGGAACGCATGTCGCAGAGTGATGTCATCGTTTTAGGTTTCTAGTTGATCTCAACCACCTCGTACCGTCAAGATTTTTCTGTTTCTCGAGATTTTGATGTAGAGCCGACTCTGCCCGCAATTCCTAGGGAACGCATGTCGCAGAGTGGCATCACCATTTCGTATCTACAGCTGGTCTCGACCAGACTTCCTCAACTAAGATTTCTAGAACACGTCGCTTCCAAGTAACACTCATTGTGCCCGCCATTCTCTGAGAATGCACGTCGTAAAGTACAACACCGCTTCATACCTTCCAAATACAACTCACTTAGGGTTTTTCCGTTTCTCAACGCTCCTAGGTAAATCCAATTATGTCCGAAATTCCCAGGGAATGCACAATGTAGAGTATCGATCCGATGTCAAAAGTCATCCAACAATCCACTTCATTAGCACTGAGGCATAATCCCGACACGAATTCTTGTATTTCAACCAGAAGGTGAAAATTCAAACAGAGAAAGGTTTGCACAACTATGCCGAATGACACCAAAACCGGAAGTCATGACATCCAAATGATGTCATGACAAACACACTACTACACTAACAGAAGATCCTAAGTATGCTCTGAACAAAACCACGCTCTGATACCAATCTGACACGCCCCGACCCCGATATTCCCCGAATACCAGGATAGGCACGTGCTGGCCGACACCCGAGGGTGACGAAAGCCATTTATTGAGTGCAAATGCTGAAAACAAAGGATAAATAAGGCTTATAAATATAAAAGAATAATGAATATGCAAATAAGGACCGTGTTCAGAGCACACCACTAATCTAGAACACTAAAGGAAAAATAATATAAAACTAAATGAACAAAGGAGTGGGTCCTACACCGAGAGGACTCGAAGATGCCGATGCGGAAGTGCCTGGACGTCGGGATTGTATGCCTCGATTCTAAGTCCTGAAGGGGGCGCAAAACAAACATGAGTGGACCAAGTTGATATATATATAATAAAACAGTTATCAACATACTAACCCCCAGGTTTTATGAAAACACATATATATGATGATAAACATAGGTTTTCCGAAACCTAGCATGTCGTGCAATATCTCAAATCATAATTCGCATAAATAATAAACACTAGTGAATGTCCGATATAACACTTCAGGCCCCATGCCGGCTCCCCGTCTCTGAGCACACAGTCAGAGGAAAATGCACTTCAGGCCCCATGCCGGCTCCCCGTCTCTGAGCAGACAGTCAGAGGAAAACACACTCCAGGCCCTATGCCAACACCAAACCGTCGCCCGGGACGGACCGGATCTATCCCTACGTCCCGTAGCGGAAAGGACCACTAGGTAGGTACAAAACCAGTGAACATACATATATTGAAAATCAACTTTATAGTATAAAGTCATCCATCATCTATACTATAAAGAGGTGTTCTAAACATGTTCTAAATATCATATCGTCATCCATCAGATATTCTACAAGAACATGGGTTATAGGAAAAATAGTAATAATTCAAACTAGCCTCAGTAAGCATGTTATCTCGTAAAACGTTTCATAAAACATAATCATCAAATCATGCTTTTCATGTATGCATTTATACTATCAAAACATGCATTTTTAGAAGGGGTCCACTCACAGTACTTCGCCGTCGAAAAGCCACGTCATCTAGCAAAGAAGGAAACGCCACAGATAATCGCCCCTAAGCACATAAACGGTACATTTAGTCAAACTCTACTCAAACGGTTGAATTTGGGAAAACGAACATCGGAAACGGGTTCAGGACGTCGAAATTAGCCAAGGAGGGGTCCCGCACGAAAACCGAAAAAGTCAACCCAAGGTCTAAGTCAACGTTGACCGCGACCGGTCAAAGTCAACGCTGACCGTTGACCGGGTCAACGGTCAACGGGTCAGGTCCGGGTCCGGGTCAACGGGTCAGGCTTTAGGGTTTGGGTATTGGATTTGGACTTGGGTTGGATCCGGGTTGGGCCTAAGGGTTTAGGGTTAACGGGCCAGAGGCCCTAAAACAAACGGCCCAAAGGCCTAATTACAAAGGGTAATGGGTTTGGGCTGCCCAGGGTCTTGGGCTTGGCAGGAAAGGCCCAAAGGCCTTAGGTGTTCGCCGGAGTCCAAAGAGGGAGAAGGCCGGATTTCGGCCGGAGAATTCCCAAGCTCCGTTGGAGCTCAAAACTCAACCAAAACATGTCATTCAATATACCAAATTGAAGCCCCGAAGGTAAGGAATCGAAATATACCCTTGGTTCCCGTCATTGTGGCCGGAGTTGGCCGGAAAACAGCTTGGAAGCCACGGGTGTCCGCCGGAAACTGGGTAAGATTCAAATGAGCATAACTTCTTCAATACTCAATGAAATTAGGTGAAACAAAAAGGAAAGTTGTAGTACTCAGCGAGACGAAGAGATTGATACCTCGCACGCCGGCCAACTCGCCGTGGTTTGGCCGGAAATCGCCTCGAAAAGGGCGGTGCTCGCCGGAAAACTGAGAAATGTCTCCCGAGGTGGTTTCTTCGTGGTTTGACGTCCCAAAACACATCCACGGGGTTAGAAAAGAGTTATAGGTGCGGGCTTGGGTGTGTGTGTGTGTGTGTGTGTGTTCTTGTCGGACCGAGAGGGAGAGAAAGACAGAGAGAAGAGAGAGTGAAGGAGAGGAGAGAGAGATTTTTCAGAAAAAAGGAAAAGGGGAAAGGGAAAGGGAACGGGGGACAAAAACAGGGGGTGGGCCCCTTGGGCTCACCAATTAAGGCTCAAAAACAATTTTTAAAAGAAAGGTATCCCCCAAACTTAGTGAAAATACAAAAATACCCATTTTCTTACGTAAATTCTGGGACGGGTTGTTACAGGGATTCTTCAAACTCTGGCCTTGGGGGAAGGGGTGGTGAGTTGTTTTGGGGGGGGGGGGGGGGGGGGGGGGGGGGGGTGGGGTGGGGTGTGTTGGTGGGGTGGGTTTGGTGGTGAGGGATGGAATAAAAAGCTCACTGCCATGGAGCTGCAAGCCCCCTCACATCTCGTTATTGAATATTTTGGTAATTCAGCGACAATGCTTAAGGTTCTAATACCGTCAGTATGTTGAAATTGTTAATCTGCTATATAGGCTTCGACGGAGTTGAAATTCATGGAGCGCATGGCTACCTTCTTGATCAGTTTCTGAAAGATCATGTGAATGATCGAACAGACCAATATGGTGGATCTATAGAGAATCGTTGCCGCCTTCCTCTGGAAGTTGTTGAAGCCGTCGTTAACGAAATAGGAGCAGATAAAGTTGGAATTAGATTATGTCCATTTGCTGACTATATGGACTCAGGGGATTCAAATCCAAAAGAATTAGGCGTCTATATGGCCAATGCCTTGAACAAATATGGAATCATGTACTGCCACCTCATGGTCGAGCCAAGGATGAGTACAGTTGGAGAAATAGCTGAAACCCGCCAGAGTCTTCTTCCTATGAGAAAGGCTTTCCATGGTAACTTCATTGCTGGTGGCGGTTATGACAGGGAAGATGGAAACAATGCTGTGGCCGAGGGCTGTGCAGATCTTATTGCTTATGGCCGTATTTTCTTGGCGAATCCGGATTTGCCAAAGAGATTTGAACTTAATGCTCCTCTAAACAAGTACAACAGAGAGACATTCTACACACCTGATCCCGTCATTGGTTACACTGATTATCCATTTCTTGAAGCCACCACCTAAGTTTACCGCAAAGATGGAAGCTTGAACACTAGGGCTCCTTTGATTCATCCGATTGAGTCTGTACTATCTTTGGATTGTTTTCAACTATATTGTATTGTACTGTTGTATCTTAGAGGCTGGAAAAGTTGTACTCTCTGTTCGGTGTTGTACCATATAATGGCCGGAATGAATAAGTAACATTTGTGAAAGAGGAAACTCAATTCTTATCCCTATATATGTCATTCAATTGAGGCGTTTATTGAGGATCAACTCGTTTCCTTTAGATGTTCTCACTGCATGGCTTTTTTTATTCTCTGAGCGAAGGCTGTTTTAGAATCTCTTTGTAATATATGGCCTCGTTTCGTCTCTAGGTTTAGATTGGAACTAGAAAATAAGTCCACACGTTGCGGCGGGAACAACTGTTTCATGCGCAACTGCATGAATAAGACACATTTAGCCTAAATAAATTTAACACAGTCATGAATGAACAGAGCAACTCATGAGTGAATGAGGTCGATAAGATAAGCAAAACTTATGTAATCATGTTAACTAAAAACTGAGAAATGACTTTCTTTCCTGCATAAAAATTCACTAAAGAAACAGAACTTACGTAATCATGTTAGCTACAAACTGCACTACAAAAAATTTGAAGTATTTCCAAATATGTTGAAATCTAAAAGCAAAAAGATGATAATTCTTCTGACTGCATAAGATTATACAATAAACATAAGATGGTGTGATCTCATAAAACTCAGTATTTAGGAGAAAGGAAGATATAAACATACGCAATCCACTTTCAGACTTGCCAAATAGGTCTCATAAAACTCAGTATTTAGGAGAAAAGAAGCCAATCTTGCCAAATAGATCTCATAAAACTCAGTATTCTAATCCGTTTTCAGACTTGCCAAATGTAATCTCATAAAACTTAGTATTTAGGAGAAAGGAAGATAGTCTTGAAACATAAACTTAACCATCAAATTCAGTTCTTAAAACCAAAAGAAAAGATTATGGTTTCTTGGTTGCTTACCCAAATCCACCAATTGAATCAAATTTCTGCAGAACACTTTAGATGAAGTTGTGAGGATGGGTGGTGATGAAATTGAAGAAACAGCCAAATTCCAAACAAATAAACAGAAATTAACACTCATAAAAGTGTTTCAGAATCCACAAATTTAAACGAAAAACTATATAAAATCATGAAAAATTTAATAAAACCCAATTACACGAATCACTCTTCCCGAAAACAGGACATTTAATGCAGAAAGCTCAAACTATAATAATTGATGAACCAAATATTTTCAATTGAATTTATCCTTTCAATTGGTAGGTATTTTTGTTTATCCTCGTATCTTTCAATTGCCACCCAAAACTAACATCTCAGAGAGCCTTGCACTTCTTATCTTTAAAAGCATGAATGGTGAACTAAATAAAAAATAAGAATCTGCAATGAACGAAATAAAAATAGACTTTACAAACATTATTCGCACAAAAATTAAAACTGTATTGAGAAACTCACCATCCCATTTCTAATGAATGATGTATGACGATAAAACCAATTGGTGGGTGCATTGAAATATATTGACAGGCCCATTAAAGGCACGAACATCGTCAAGTATACCTTGGGGCGGAATTGGAACGATCATTATCAAGTCTTCATCTCTGACACTAGGAGCACTCAGCATCTCAGAATTCCTCATCTACCATCATATAGCAGCTGCTGCCGCTGAAGCAGCACCCATGTCTGCTTATACGCATCGAAAAACATACCACGCATTCGCTATACATTTCTCTATTAATTAATCAGCTAACTGAATTTAAAATTAGCTTCCAAACCGAAAAAGTTCTATAACTTTTAATTTTGCAATCACATTTAGTTCTTCATCTCTTACTCTAAATCCCAATTACAGAAATATCTAAACTTTACTTCAATTTAATATTGTTTTCCCCAAAAACAGCACAATCCCACAAAAATAAAGTAAAAAAAAAAAAAAAAAAAAAAAAAAAAACACACAATATACCATGAATTAAATTAAAATTCTCACCTCCAGCTCCAGCTGAGCTTTTGCATTCTCAACCTGTCGCAAAAAAATAAATAACTAAAGAATCAAATCAAATTCAAGTAAAAATAAAAAAGAGAACTTGAATATAGCAACCCTACTCCCCCTCCTTCTCCCTCTCCCTCTGCAATTCACGCGTGCACCCCTTCCCTCCGTAACCCTTCCTATGAAATCCCTAAACCCCACGCGTAGGCACTACATCTTGTGGCTGAACCATGGCCTCGGTCAAATCGAAACCAACCAGAGCCCACTCCCCATAACCCTACCACCCTCCCCAGTATCCCACCCCTGTGATCTTCACCTTATTCAATCTGTCCCAGTGATTGGATCTCCGAAATATTCTATTCGTGAAGTACTTGATAAAGAAACCCACTTTAGTTGGATCAGTGATCCCAGCAACTATTAAAATTTTTTAGTTTCCAGTGGCAGCATGCATCCATAGTTGGGGCTGTCACTTGAAAGCACCTGAGAAATGAGACTTTAATTAATACGATGAAAATGATAACTGGGGGAGTTCAAACCCCCACCAGCATCATTCTGTGAAAATTCAACAATGAAAATGTTCAATGCAAGAATCCTCATAATTACAAATAATGGGATTGCTAACTGATAAATCTGCGTAAACAGCAGAAAGAGATTCAGGGCAATTATGAGTACCTGTATAGAAAACAGGTCAAGAACTTGACCAAGGCGCCTGTGATCTCGACGTTTAGCTTCCTCTTTGAAATGAAGATATGCCTTCAATTGATCTTCACTCTCCCATGCAGTGCCATAGGTCCTGTGCAGCATCGGTTTCTTTTCATCTCCTCTCCAGCAGGCACCAGCAATAGACTCAAGTTCGACAGCTTTTCTGTTAATATTTCCAGTTTTTTCAACATGGGGCCCCGCACATACGTCCCACCATTCATCACCTATGAAGAATTCGGCAGACTATGAGGAATAATGACATAAAGACAGTCTAATATGACAGGATGCTAGTTCAAAACACAATCAAATCCCAGTACAAGCATGCATATGTATAAACACAAGTATAATTTGGTAAGCTGACCAAAAGGTTCCTCCCACCTCCAAATTAGTCTCGTTTTCAATCTGCATATCAATAACTCATTTTTAAAGAGCACCAACAACATTGTTTTCCCTGAGCACACCCCCGCCCTCTCTTTTTTATTCCTTTAAATTTCCATCTGAAGACTCAACACAAACACTGTACATTTCACTTGTGTAGCTAATAAAAATATCATTTACGCACAGTTCCTGCACATTAAATCATCACCTTCCATACTATATTGAGCCTGAAATAGTGAAACCCTTACCAATATGATATATGGTAATGGGATCTTCTTTAATACTATCCAAAATATCCAATTTGTATGGTTCGTTGAGAGTGGTTATTCTTTTTGTGAGCTTCATCTCTTGAAACTTCTTCTCTTATGAGTGGTAAGTTTCAACCAATGATGCTATCCTACAAACCACAAAAGAAATGTTCACGAATACTTTTCAATAGTTTCATGGTTCCAAAACTTTGATACAAACATGATAACTTATACAGAAATTCCACTTACCATCTCCTTCTTGATTCTCTTCAACTCTTTGTCCGTCAAAGGCTCCATATCAAAATCATAATAGAACCCATTTTCTATCCACGGACCAATTGTCACTCTTGCATCCGGGAAGAACTTTTGAACAGCCATGGCCATCGCGTGTGCACACTGCAGTCAAACACATATACATGGTTCATCACCATAACAGCGGAAAAGGTGCCATTAATACCAAACTACAAGGAAATTCAGAAAAAAATGAACATAGCTCGACCTCAACACTTTATCAAAATACAGAAACCCGTGCATCTTCTCACATTCCCAAAAACAGGACGAAAATTTTCCCAGCTTATCCGCTGCTGTACACCCATTTTTCCATGTCCTATTCGATCAAATTTCAAATTGCCGAGAAGTTATGTTCTTATTTTCTTCATCCTTACTTCCTCATTCTTCACAACAGAATCAGGTGACAATTAGTAACGTAGAATTGAAAATAGTTAATTAAAAGCATCAAACTTTCAAAAAGGGGAAGCTCCTAAGAATCTAAAAATTCAAAAAATTCAACAGGAAAGCACTCCTACTTCAATTTAACATAACACAATCATAAATCCAATCCAAATGCAATTTCAATAAATACCATGTGTCGAATTCTGATGAGGTTTTCGGAGGACTCGTTTGTTGGAAGCACGACTTTCTCAGACTTATCAGCTACCTCCATCTGGGCATCCTTCAATTTGTCGTCTTGGGTCGAGACCTGAGCCTCCGTGGCCATCGCCGAGGAGGTGAAGACTCCATTTCTACCGCCGTAGAGGGACAGAGCCCTGAACTCGGAGCTCAGTGTTTAACTGGGGAAAGCAAAGAAGAGGTCTTGAGGAGAGGGATCATTGAGAGGAAGGAAGAAGAAGTGGCCATTGCCATTCTCTGAAGGATTAACACCTGGGTTGTGTTTGGATTTCAGAATTATGATTGGGTTCGTGTGTAACGGTGGAGGGTGAGTGAGAGTGGCGTGTTCGTGACTTCGTTTGTGGTGGAGGTTTTGGCTTTCCGATTTTTTCCCTCGGGGGTGCAGTCAAATAAGGATTTAGCGGGATTTTAAAGAATTTTAAAAGATTTTGGATTAGTCAATTAGAATTTAAAAAAAAATGTAAGAGAGTGTATTCAAATAAAGGCTAGTCAAGAATTTTACAAGATTTTAGAATCCTGAAGTAGTCAATTAGAATTTTAAAGAATTTTTATTGAGATTATGAAAATCTATATGTATTCAAAAATTTATAAATTTTGAAGGATTTTGATCGAGAGTGACTGAAGCAGAGGCTATTATGAGAGAGAAGTTGAAACGGAATGAAAAGTCGAGAGATTGCAGTCGAAGCAGACCTTTTGATGATGATGGACACGTAACCCATCCCCTCACCAAATTCCACACAACCGGCGATCTAGCGGATGATCAAAGTGTGGATCGAAAAATGAAAATTCCAATCTGAACGGAAATTCCAGCCCAAAGACCCAAAGCCCCATCTAAATCCAGTGACAATTTTGAAAATAAAATTAAATGAGGGGGCAGAGAGACTCAGTGGCAATTTCGTAAGTAAACTTAAATGTACCCCAAAATTGCACAGTACCACCTCCCCTACTTTAGACTAAAGTAATAACTATTAAAATTTATAGGGGATTAGAATGAAACAAACTTGTCCCTCACAATCCTATCATTTGGAGAGGGATTAGAATGGATAATCCCTCATTGTAGCTTTCATTGTCTTAACATCGATTTTAGGATTGATTTTCATATATATATATATATACACATATATATATATATATATATCCTTTGTTCGAAATAAATAAATAAAGGTATTGATCTTCATACCATCAGCATATCTATTGTTTTCATCTTTTTCCACAAGTGTGATTTGGAACAAATGTTTTTACATATAAAGGAGAATGTCTATCAGATTGGTCATTAGAAGCATACACTTGCCAAGGGCATGAATCTGAGCCTTAACCATGTACCAATCATTTGTGGTTAACTTGTAAGACCTGCAATTGTTATGAAAGTGTCATCTCACAGCTTCTTTGAATTCCTTGGAACTTGGAAATGTAAGAATATGAGCATGAGTATGAGTCTGGAGAATCGGTTATTCGTCTAAAGTTTGATAGAAAGTCTTAACAAGTATGGATTATCAATCCATGTTGTTCTAGGATTCAAATTGAACAAGGAACTGATTCACCTATTGTAAACAATTTCAGTTTTTTGTATGGATTTTAATAGGAAAATCCTTATTTGTCTTGGCTAGGATTATGTTCTATATATATAGTGGCCTATCCTTTCAAAGATATTACACTCTGTCTCGGACTAAGACCTATTATTTGTTTGAACATTTTAAATCTGGAAAGAGGAGAACGTTTACTACTTGTTTTGCTACTGAGATCGACTATGGCTTCTTCTTCTGGTGCATCTGCAGGTAAGAGCTGTACAATAGTTATGACCTATGGTTTGTGTTTTGATGGCTGTGATTCATAATTCACGATCTTGGTTTATACGTTTAGTCTAACAGGAAAAACCACCCCCAAATCAAACTCTATGATACTAAGATCAGTTTCTTTTCTATAATGTTTAAACATGGGCCGTTTCTTCTTCCTCCTATTCCTTCTCATTGAATCCGGTTCTTCACCATTTGAGTTCCCATATAGGCTTCTAAGTTCTTTCAAGTTGTACTCATCAGGCTCTCTGGTTCTTCTACTCGAATTTCATTATGTACATCTTTCTTGTTGATACAACCAATGTTAAAATTGCATACGGGCATATGAAGCTCAACTAGATTTTTCAGGGTAAAATTTGACGGCAAAGATTCCAGTGGATATCTGGCCAATAAAGACAAGGAAGAGAATCAAAAAGGTCTAGAGAACCAATGAATTTGCAGTCAAATATTTCAGATTCAACCACAATTAGCATTATTATTAGGTTAGACATCTTTTTGAAGTCTACACGTTTCAACGGTCGCTCCTCAATCATAGACCAATTAAAGAATATGGCTTCAACATTTAGAGTTTCCTCACAATAAGAACAAAGTTCATATGTGAATATATATGTTTTCAGGATAATGCTAGGAAGACCAAAATTTTTAAATCAAATTTGCAAAGCAAATGTAATGCACATTTGGAAAATGAGTACTTGCGATGGGAATGATGTACAAGTGTCGTAGTCTAGTAAGATAATTGTATCCTCCTCCTAACACTAACACAATAAAAATTCAATCAAATTCATCTATTAACAACCTGACTTCTTTATTATAAATTAGTATTACTTAGTTCAATTATCATCTAAAGTTTGTAATTTTTTCTTTCCCTAAAAATGAAAAGAATTTTTTTAATGCATTTGGCTCTTACCATGTTACTCTTCAATACACGATAAACATCCTTATCAATGAACAACCTATCCGGTTTTCCGAGATCCTTAGTACATTCTTTCTGAACAATTGTCCTTCCCATTTCTTGTGGCAAATCGTGCATCTCTATGGTTTTCCTTCCCCATTTTGAATCAATTGATACGAGAGACATATCAATGAGAATTCTAATTCTGGTTGTCCCAAACAATCCACAAACATTTAACCTTTGTTTTACATACTCCATAGGCCACCCTTTATGAAAACATGCTACATCCAGAAATATCTCCTTCTCATTTTTACCCAATCTATCATACTCTAAAGGAACACCTCTAGCATAATGCACAGCCTTTTTTGCCAACTCCTTATAATTTGTTCTACGAGTACTGTTATTCTTGAAAGCACGTGAACAGAAGAGCTGAAGAGCATCATCCAGTTTTAATACCTCAACCTTGTATATATTATCCTCTTCAATAGTATGCCTAAGTATGCCCCTAACTCTACTTATGATAACGATTCTACTTCTAGTGCTATACGGAAGACGATCGCCAGCTAAACGTTCCATCATTGAACTACTCACATCATCAAGAACAGTGAGGATCTTCGTGTGGTTAAGTCTTTTTCGAACACTAGTTGATCCTATGGATAGACCTTCTTCCTTTAATGTCTCTCCAAGAAGTGTCTTTTGCAATTGTTTTAGAATTTTTGTTTGTTCTCCCTCCCTAACATTTAAAAGAAAACAAGAAGCTTCTAATTTAGAAGAGTCGTTGAAATACAACTTTAGCAAGGGTGGTCTTGCCAATACCACCCATGCCCCAAATACATACAGTGATACAAGTGTCTAGTGAATGAATGCTTAATAGTGATTGGATTATAGGCTTCTAACTGCCCCTCTGTTACAATCAATGTTTAAATTGCATAAATCTGTTTTTGGTTATTTAAGGCATGCCTTCACTTTAACCTTCCAGAGTGAAGCTATGAAATTAAATAATGGGGGTCATGAAATTCTGTGCGCAAGATTAAAAAAGATGCTAGGTGTTAGTCAGGCGGCGAGCAAGGATCTAGCGTTTAGGTGGTAAGGTAGATATAACAAAAATTTATTATACATTGTATAATTACGTGTCTGCTTAAACTTAAAAAATTCATAATTTCATTGCAATACATAAATTGCAAAATAGAATGACATATAGATTACAAAGTATTACAACATAATGAAGACATGAAGAACAATCATATAATGTGTGTCCATCTAAGTATCTAACAAGTCTTTTACAATTTATTGAAACAATTAAAATGCAAAATGAAAGTTATTTATTTTCTATTAAATGATAGTTGTGATCTAGACGGGTTTGATTGGGCTAGGCGGATGCTTAAATAGGTCTAAGCGTCATTTCTTTTCAAAAGCTTAGGGATTAATCGAGACGTTGGTTGGCTCTAAACAAAAATTTTAGAACAGTATCTATGCAGAAGGACCTAATAGACTAAAACTATTGTCTTTAGCAATTATCCTATACAATCATCACAACAAAACCGACACAAAACACGTAGTACAATGTTAAACAATCATTGAATTTTTAGTAAATTTAAGTAATAAGGAACCAAAAACCTAGAAAAAACGTGCGCACCCACCATCCATAAAGCTACAAATATCTATGCCATCAATCATTTTTCTTCAATTCTTCAACAACCCTTATCAAAATCAAACTTAAAATCAACTTCTTTCTCTTCAAGACCTGACTCCAACATTGCTGATAAAACGCATCTTGCATTCGTGCAAGTTGATTGCAGCGAGCTCTAGGAAGTGGGTTGATGAAAATATCCCTCCGTGTGAATGGCAACTTGTTTTTATGGTAAAAAAGATGAAAGGTAACATAGGTAGTAGATTGAGTCTAGGAAGGAAGGGACTGCATGGGGATAGAAACTGCACCAAGGTACATAGGTATAATTGATTTCTGTCATTGCAATAAAGCGTCATATGCCTCATTAATTGGAGTAATTGGAATAGATTAATAAGGTGAAGTGTGTTTCAAATGAAAATTCTATAAAAAAAGTGAACGCATAAAAATTGCATCAACATCCATTAAACTCCGAAACAAAATTAGAGAATCCATTAAAATCTGTAACAAAATTCATGTAGAATTCCTTTACAATTCACTTGAGTAATCAATTAAAATTCATAAACTCCATGAGAATTTATAATTCCGTTGAAATTTATTAGAATCCAAATTGAATGTACCCCTTAGACCTATTCTAACCCTTTGAGTAAAACTCAAATTTTAGATTCTAAACTTATCCCAACTTACTCCAACCTTTGGGGCAAATATGAGTTTTAACCCAATACTCATTTATGAGGCAAATTTAGGCTTGGATGCCCCTGGGTTAGTGGGGCTGGCCCACTATATTCGTGTATTTTTTTAATTTTATATTTATAATTTATTAAATCTAACGGCTAAGATCTAATATGATCAAATCTAACAGTAAAATTTAGATTTAATACTCTGTCTTAAAATCTTGATTGAATAAATTTTAGAAAATCACTGAAAATCCTAATTGAATACTCCAAATTCATTAAAAGAATTAAAATCTCTTAAAATTCCAATTAAATGCACCCCCTTATTCTGCTTGAGTAGTTGAGATTTGGGCTGGTGGGTTTTGTTCATTTGGAAACAGGGTTGCAGAAATTCCCGGTTTTTTACAAGAAAAATGAAATTACTGCTTTTTTTTTTGGAAATGTGCAGGTTACTGGGCAGTTTTGTGCTTGTCTACGCAAGAATCCTGAATTTTCAGAATTAAAAGCATTAACTTTAATGGGATGGTTTGTTATTTAACATTTGGATGTTCACATTACTTGTAGAATTGTAAAGCTTGGAATTGGTTTAGTTTGATTGGTTGGATAACCCTGGTTTCGTTTGCGAGTTTGAGTTGCAACAGATAATGTGCTGCAACTTTTGGGTCAGTTTGTCCTGATGTTAGCCACGAATTACTTGCTTTTGTTCAAGATTGTTTGATTGTCGAATTCCTAGATGCGCTAGTGCAGTATACACCCGTTGTATCTTTGAAGTTGTGACTATATCTTAGCAACTAAAGTAGTCAACTCTTAAAGAAAATAAACTAGGATAGATGTTACTGATATTTGCTGTAAGCCCCAGACCTTGAAACCAAATATATGCATAGATGATCCCTAGAACCGACTGACATACGATTAGATATCGTTTCCCAAGACCTAAATGGTACATCATGGGTTGTGAACTCAGAACCACTCATCACTCCTGAGTTAGTACTTGATCTTGATCGGAAATTACTAAATTCATCTTTGGTATTCGATGCAGTTGGCTATGAAAAGTATATCTCCTTTCTCGATTTTTGGTCGTATTACTTAAATCTTGTTCTGTTTAGCAAGATCTGATGATGTCAGACATGTCATAGGCCATGTAGAGGTGTATTCTGTTGATATCCTTGCCTTCTGCAGACTTGTATTAGCACCATTGACTAGACAAAGACCATACAAAAATGTTTCTCAGCCGCATGCCATCTTATATTACTCACAGAGAAAAGCCACCGGAGTTTCTGACACAGCTCAAGGGTAACTTCACAAACATTAACTTTTTTTCAAGTTTCTTTTATGTCAAATTTTAGATGGAAAACATACATTAAGATGTGTACTTTCTTCATTTCAAAGTTTGATAACATTTTTATTTTTTTTTAACATGCGAAGGTACCCAGATACTCCCGGTATATGGACAAAGGAGCAAGTTGAAGCATGGAAACCCTTTGTTCATGCTGTTCATGCTAAAGGTGGCATCTTCTTCTGTCAGATTTGGCATGTGGGGAGGGTTTCAAATACCGGTGCGTTTCTAACATACGCTTTTATGACTTCACTTTGTGTCATTTAAAGCGTTTGGATCATAAGTGAAAAGTTAGGCCATTGAAGCATCAGAAAGCTGCCTTGATATTCCTGTAAAAGAAATCTTTCGGATTGTGATTCTATCAATATTTTCTTACAGGGTTTCAACCAAATGGGCAAGCTCCAATCTCTTCTACTGACAAGCCACCAACCCCCCAAATACGATCTAATGGCATTGATGTCGCTGAGTTTTCTCCTCCAAGGCAATTAAGGACAGATGAACAGACTTGCTGCAAGGAACGCTATAGAAGCTGGTAATTTGTATTTACTGAAGTACGAAATAAAATTAGCGAGAATTCAAAATTACTTCCAACAGAAGCAAACAAACCATATCTAATCTTACAAATGTAGTTAATTGCAGTTTAACTAGATGTGCGACAATAGTTCATGCTAGATTACAAATAATATTTGGTGCACTGAAATGGTTTGTCTGACATACAGGCTTTGATGGAGTAGAAATTCATGAGGCCTATGGATACCTTATTGATCATCAGTTTCTAAAAGATCAAATGAATGATCGAACAGACCAACATGGGGGATCATTGGAGAATCGTTGTCGATTTGCTCGGGTACTCGTTGAAGCTGTTGTTAATGAGATGGGAGCAGATAAAGTTGGAATTAGATTATCTTCATTTGCCAGCTATATGGAATCAGGGGATTCAGATCCGAAAGCGTTGGGCCTTTATCTGGCCAATTCGTTGAACAAATATGGGATCCTGTACTGCCATATGGTTGAGCCTAGGATGAAGACAGCTGGATAAAAATGTGATAGCCCCCACAGTCTTGTACCCATGAGAAAGGCTTTTATGTTGGAATATAAGTGTTTGTGCTAGAGAAATATTAGCATAACTTTTAGTATTTCAGATTTAAATGTGAGTCATTGGATTATATTCCAATTGGACAACTAAGATGTAATCTTAGTGATAGTAGTGTGTGTTGTCACTTGTAGCTATCTTATAGGGTAGATTACATGAATGGTAGAGATTGAACTTTGTAAGAGAGAATCTCTCTCTCCTCTTGACGGTTTTATTCTTGTACATGCCTTGTGTGATGAGTGTGAATGAATGAAGCAATTTTTGCTCTGTGTGAATATCCTCTCTGCAACTCTATGAGATTTTCGAGAAATCTTTCATCTCCATTTTCGCTTCACTCCCTACAATAGAGATCATAGTCTCTAGATTCTAACATGGCCTCAGAGCCAAGTTTGGTCGCTTAACACTGGGCGATTGAATCTGTGAAGGAAACGAGTTGAAATTTGAAGAAATTGATTGCAAGATCTGTGTCTAACATGGCAGGTTCTAGAGGTGGTGAGATAAGAGCGCTGATCTTCAACGACGAGAATTATGAATTCTGAAGCATAAGGATGAAGACTATATTCAAATCTTATGGGTTATGGGAGTTTGTTGAAAAAGGAGTAGAGTGCTCAAATTCGAAGGGAGCTAATGAATCTGATGAAAAGAAGAAGGAGAAGGAGGGATCGAGTGATGCTACATCTCTCTCGGAGAAGCTCATGAAAGATGCCAAGGCATTGGGGCTGATTCAAGGAGCAGTTTCCGATGAGATTTTCCCTCGAATCTTTCACGAAGAAACCTCTAAGGGAGCTTGGGATATCTTGATGCAAGAATTCCATGGTGACAAACAGGTTAGAAGTGTCAAATTAC